CTGCAGGAGCGTCTCCGCACTAACCCTAGACGAGGCAAGCGATTCCAAACGCAGCCGACGCAACAAGTTGAAGGAGGCCCATCACACCCTGGTCGCTTACCCACGGGACTACCACTCCACGCTGGACCATCACTGGATGGATTTCGCCAAGGCAGTTGGCACAGACATCCCAGCCCCGAAAGACCAGGAGACCTCTTGGCCTGCGCTCCAGCTGAGCCCCTTTTCTGGTCAAGGTGTGCGGCGCGAGCATCCCAGAAGGCGGCCGCCCGGAGGGGGCCCCCTGGGACGGCGAGAGATGGGCGGCATCGAGGGTGGTAGGACACCTACTGTGCAGCCCAGAGCACAAGGTGGCGTGGACAGCTCGCTACTCGAGCCTGGCCCACAACAAGGGGCCAAGCCCGTTCCACCATGACCTCGCCGTCCTCGTCAGCTTTCTTGCCGGCCTGAACCCAGGAGCTCTCGCAGCTGCCTCCATTGCCACCCTTGCTGGAGAAGACCCCTCGATTGTGGGCGCCGACGAACCGCGCTCGGCGCCCCCAAGGGAAGCCATGAGAACCTGGCTTCAGCCAAGAGTCGAGGGGGCAGCAACCGCAGCGGACGAGGGGCCCTCGGCCACTGGTGCCCCGCCCAGCGGCGCGGCCCGTAAGGAGGCCGAGCCTCGTGCCTTGCTGGCAGAGCACGCCCGACAGGCGGCAGATCAGGGGGCGACCGACAACCCCCTCTGGCACAGAAGCAGCCTTCTCTCCAACGAGCCCACCGCCCACCGTGAAGGCCGACATCGAAGGGATCGACAGCGACGAGGAGGGCGGAGTCGAAGGGGCCCTGTCATCAGCCTCGCCGCCGCCCTGCGATGCAGCGGAGGGCACCGCCGACCTGGAAAGCAGCTCGTTCCCATCCTCGCTCGGTGCCGCAGGCGACGCAACCGGAGGCAGCCCCTCCGACGACCCCCCGAGGATCTTCGGCACCGGCACGGCCAACGCAAGCAGACCTGAGCAGGGCCGCGCAGAGGGCAATGCCAGAGCCGGCGAGCCTCGCAGGCTGAGCCGCGACCCCCCGCGCAGGCACGCAGCCCCACCCAGCGCGCTCGGCAGCGTCAATGCGGCAGCAGCTGCCCCAGCGGGGTCCGAAGCGGACCCGCGTGGAGGCACGGTGGGGCCGTGGGACGTGGTTTCGACGACCTCGTCGATCCAGTCTACGGAGGCAACGTGGAGCTTGACAGGGTTGACGATTCGCCAGCAGCCAAGATTTCACGACTTCAGACAGCCTTGGGAGGAGTCTTCAGCGCCATCTGGCACGCCTACACCCGAAAGCACGCCGCGGGACCTAAAGGCAAGGCCAAGAGCGATCCCGCGCGGAACACCGAGGCAACCTGCCGCGGCTTCCTGGGCGACTGGAAGCGCTGCGGGTTCGACGCTCACGAGATGGGCCGCCGGCTCAATCATCAGATCGACCGGGGCCCGGAGCGCGCCAAGTGGACGGGGGGCCATGGCAATTGCGCCCCCCAGCCCGCGGGCCGAGCGACAAGCCCCCAGCAACCCTGGGACTGGGGCGCGTGGCCCTGGTCACGCGCCTGGGGCGGCGACGACTGGCACAGCGGGGGCAAACGAGGCGGCAACTACAGCGGCGACGGGAGAGGCGACAAGCGCCCCCGCGCGTGGCGGTGGCCCTGACGTTTTCGGCAGCCAGTGGCCGACGGCCACTCCTTGGCAGCGCGCGCTGCCCCCCCCCTACTCTCGCGGCATCTCTGCGCCTTGGCCCTCGCCGCCTGCCGGGCCCCCCATCCCTCCCAACATTGCGGGCCCGCCCGCCCTGGTTTTGCGCGGGGCGCAGCCTGCCGCGCACGGACGCGCTGGCCGCTGCGGTTTCCTTCGGGCAACTCCGCCCGCAGCTGCCCGCGGCTCACCTGGTTAGCCGACCCTCAGTGGGCCTCCCGGTCCTCGCGCCACGCGGCCGGCCCGCCTCCCCGGCGCGGTGGACTGGCTCAGCAGCCGACCGATGGCTCGCGGGAGGGCTTTCACTACTGCGATGGGCGTAACGGATGATGCTCCCGCACTTGGTGACGCTCCAGCTGTGCCTGGCAGACCAGTGGCCGCTTGCCACTCCCTGGTAATACTTTCTGCACAGCTCCCGCTGTCCCGCGCCCCTGGGCTTCTGGCAGCGGCCAGCTATTTCCCCTGGCGCGTCGGCTGCTGCTAGGGCCGTGGCCCACCTGCCCCGTCCTTGCGGGCCCGCCCGCCCTGGTTTCACATCGTCGCAGCCGCCGCGCCTGGATGCGTGGGTTTGTGGCTTCTCGCAGAAAGCGCAGCCGGCGGCTACTCCCTGGCCCCCTGGTTGGTCGACCAGCAGGGGGTCGCAGCGGGCCGCGCTCGGTTTCGTTCCCTCTGCAATCAGCAACCAGTGGCCGTTAGCCTGTCCCTGGGAGCGCTTCCTGCCCAGCTGCCGCTGTTCCCCGTCCTTGAGGCATGGGCAGCGGCCAGCTGACAATTCTGGCGCGTGGACTACCGCTGGGGCCGTGGTCCACCTGTCCCCTTCGGCTCTCGGCCATACTGTAGTTGTTTTCACCGCCATCGGTGCGCCCCCTACTCCGCGCCCCGTGGTACCCACCGCGCTGGGGCGGCCTCCCCCCGCGGCTGGGCCACCTCCCTGGCCCCTCCCTGCTCCGGCGGCTGCGCGTCTCAGCGACCCCGTCAGCCCCAGCCCTCCGCCCCCTGCTCCAGCGGCTCCTCCCCATGGGGCGCCTGGGGCTCCCGAGTGCACGTGGTTCAGTCTGTGCGCTCTCGGCTGTCGTCCGACCGTCTTGATATTTTCCATGGTTCCCGGCGGCAGCGCCCACGGCGTCCTCTTGCAACTTCGATCCGGATTTGAGGTGTGGGCCGCGTTGTCCCAGCAGCCCTCAGCCGCCGGTTCCAGCTCGAGAGTGCGCGTGGCTACTTGATCCGGTGGTGCGGGAGTTTACGGTGTCGAGTACCTCCACCGTGCCCCTGGCTACTTGCCCGTCCCTGGGTAAAATCGCGGACAGACTTCTCAGGATCAGTACATCCCAATGGGAACCGGGTGTTCGACTTTGGTGGCGCCACTCAGTTCACTAGTTTGGGCGTTTCGGCACGCTTGGCAGTCGTCGCAGATACTGGCTCGCCGCCCCCCCTGGCCCCATCCTTGTGTGCAGCCCGCGCCATTTTGGCCGCGCCCCAACCTTGGTTGGCCATTTTGCGCGTTGCGCTGGCTCAGCCCCCGGCAGCCGCAGCCTGCACCCCCACCCGCCGGCTCTGCCCGCCGTTGTGATGCTGAGGCCCCGCCGGCTTTAGGCAACTCGTCTTTGCGCGGCCCGCTCTGACTCGACTCGCCGTTTGCGCTTTCGCTTGCGGCTGCTGCTGATTAGAAAAGTACCCCCACCAGCCCATGTAGAAGCCCTGCCCACGAGAGGTGACGGGAAAAAGAACGAAAGGACACATTTAGGGATACATAGCGAGCAACCAGGATGGACCGAGAGATCGCTGGGAGCAAGGGGGTGGCCTTGGAAGGCCTCTTCGGGCCATCCCTGGGGACCGCGTGGGGGCGAGGGGAAGAGGAGGATGAGGAGGATGAGGAGGAGGAGGAAGAGGACGTGGAGGGATCCAAAGAGTGTGATCCCTGGTGGTGGTGCTGCTGCTGCTGGTGCTGCTGATGTTGCTGGTGCCTCTGCTGGTGTTGCGGCCGGTGCCCTGGAAGACCTCTTGGGGCCATCTAGGAGAACATGGATCAAAATATGGGGGTGTCCTCGATTTCGGCCCCTTCCCAGGAACCCTCAAAATCGCCTCTTGGTGCTCTCCTGGGGCTTTTTGGGAGGGTATTGGAGCTTTCTTGGGGCTCTTTTGGCCGTCATGGGGCCCTCTTGGGGCCCTCTTGGGGCCTTTTGGAAGTCCTGGAAGCCTTGTTGGGGCCATCTTGAAGGCCATCGGTCAAAGGAGAGATTGGACAACTTTCGGCCCCCCCCCCAAAACAGGCCAACATGGGGCCAAAACCGTAGTATAACCAGTGATTTGGGCGCCCGGAGGGCTGGTAGGATAACGTTGCCCCCCCCCTTCCGCAAAGAGGCCACAATGGGGCCGACACCTGGGTAAAACCAATGATTTTGTCGCCCAGAGGGCTGGTGGGGTAACGTTCGGTCCCCCCCCAGAGGCCAACATGGGGCCAAAACCTAAAGAAAGCTAATGATTCTTGTTTCCTCGCCGAGGCCGTCTTGGACGCCCTGACACCTCGCGGGCCCCCCCCAAAAAAATCCAGGGGGGGCAAAGGGGAGGGGTCAACCTCTCCCCATAAGAGGGAAAGGTTTTTCTTCTTTTTTTTTCGAAAGAGGGAAGAGGCATCTCGTTGGACCACCTGTCGCCGAATAGCGGTATGGGTACGTTTTGGTGTCCCCAGGGATAAGAACGGCGCAGCGTCCTCGGTCCACGCACCCTCGGCGGGGCGCCCATGAACGAGGGTGATTCCTTGGCGCCGCGCGCCCGCGGCCTCTCGCGCCGCCTGGTGGCCCCCGAACGCGGCGATCACCGCGCCTTCTGCTGGCGAGTCAACGGAGATTCCAGGGTACTCCAGATTTCGTAATAAAAGGGAGGGGGTCTGGATCCTCCAAGACAAACCATTTCAGACCTCCCCTGTGGGAGAACCCTCCAAAACATCGTCCCCAGACCCCCCAGGCCCTCCAAGATAGCTTGGAAGAGACCCCCCCCCGAAATGAGACCCCCCTCCTGCGGCGGGAGGCCCAGGAGGCCGCGGTGAAAACCAAACGCCAGGGGGGGGGGGCCTTCGAGAAAGAGGCGCGAGCCGCTGGCGCCCAGGGCAAGGACGACGACGGGGAGGACCACCAGGGCAGGGGCGAGGACGACGAGGGCGAGGACGAAGAGGGCGAGGGCGAGGGCGACGACAGCGCCATCCCCGACGTCCCCGATTTGGGGCCTCGGAGCCCATCGGCGGGGCGCCTTTGAATCGGGGGGTGCTTTCTGCGCCGCGCGCGCGCGCTGGCTCGAGCGCCGGGCACAGCCCGTCGCGCGCACGCCCCCGTTCGCCCTGGGCCCGGAGGGCTCCCAGAGTGGGGTCGAGGCAGTGTGTGTGGGGGGGGGGGCAGTTTCGGCAGCGGCCCAAAGGGGGGTCATGAAATCCCTTCAGATGTCATGGCGCATTTTCTTATTCAATCGCTTCGCTCATTCCGCCGCCCCGTATTGCATGATCGCTACTGCTTCGGCGCGGTCTCGGGGCCATTTCGGCGCCGCCGGAAGGAGGAAGATGAGGATGGGGAGGGGGAGGGGAGGAGGAGAAGAGGATGAGAAGGAACGGAGGAGGATGAAGATAAATATGAGGAGGAGGAGGAGGAGGAGGAGGAGGAGGAGGAGGAGGAGGAGGAGGAAGAGAAAAGGGTGGAGGAGGAAGCCTCTCGATGGCATCTTGCGGCGTTCTTGGGGCCAAACAGGGCCGTCGTCCAGATGCTTCTTTGGGAGGCCCTGGGGTCTGTTGAGAGGCCGTTCGGGGGCGCCCGGGAGACATTTTTGAAGCCTTGTAGGGCCTCTTTTGAGCCTCCTTGGAGCCTCCTGGGGTCTCTTGGGGGCCTCTTGGCGGCATCTTGGGCCATCTTGGGGGCCTCGGGGCCTCCTGGGGCTCCCTTGGGGCGGAAGGCTTGAGGTTTCGGTTCGTGGTCCCCATCTTGGGCCCCTCTTGGGGCCGTCTTTGGGCTCTCTTGGGCCGTCTTGGGCGTCTCTTGGGCCGTCTCGGGGCCAGTTTGGGCTCTCTGGGGGCCTTCTTGGGGGCCTCTTGAGCCGTCTTCGTGCGCTCTTGGGGGCCTCTTGGGCCGTCTTGGAGCATCGGAAAGCCGAAAATGCGACAAGGCCAAAATCATTCCAAAACCATAGTAACATTTATGATTTGGGCCTCTCGGGGCGCTCTTGTGAGTCCTCTTGGAGGCCACTTGGAGCGTCTTGGCGGCTTCTGGGGCCGTCTTGGGATCATCTTCGGCGACTTGGAGCGTCCTTTGGGCGTCTCGGGGGCCTCTTGGGCAGTCTTGGGGGCCTCTTGCGGCCCTCTTGGCGCGCTCTGGGGGGTCTGTGAGGCCGTACCCAGGAGGAAACCATCTCTGAGTAGACCTTCCCGGGACCTTCCCGGGCTGCGGTCGGGGTACTTTTCGCCGGGGGACCCCCAGGGGCCGCCCCGCGCGCCCGAACTAGAAGAATTGTGAACCAGTTACGGGAGATCTTAGCACGCCTCTGGCCCGTTGGGCCGGCGAATTTCAATGCGTCCCCGGTCCCCCTCTTGGGCCGCTCACGTGCCGCTGGCCATGATTTGCGCCACCCCCTTCTTGGACGCCCCCCTCTTGGACGCCCCCGACAGTGGGGGAGGCGACAGTCGAGCACGATGAGGAGGAGGAGGAGGATGAGGAGGAGGAGGAGGAGGAGGGGGAAAATGAGGAGGAAGAGGAGGAGGAGGAGGAGGAGGATGAGAAGAAGGAGGAGGAGGAGGACGAGGAGGAGGAGGAGGAGGAGGAAGAGGCAGAGGAGGAAGAGGAAGGAAGGAGGAGGCAACCAGAGATACGAAGGAGGTGGAGACGCAGGAGTACCAGGACAGGGGCGCTCGGAGGTGGCCTCATCCCCCCCCCGCCCTGCGCCTGCAGCTTCTGCCTTCCCCCCCCCTTGCTCCTCCTGCCTCTCTCCCCCCGCGGCCCCCCGCCCCGGGAGCCCCGCCCGCCCCGAGGCCCGCAGCCCCACTTCTGGAGCCCTCCGGCTGGCCGTGGGGGGCCGCCCGGGCGCCCCCCCGAAGCAGGGCTCTCCTTTGCCAGCCTGAAGCGCATCCCTGTCCGCATCCTGTGATTGGCACCGCCCCATCTCGATGCCGGTGCGCTAGGAAAGAAGGAAGCTCGGGAGCCTTGAGACGGGGGTCAATGCAAACGGGGGTCAGCCAGGGCACCAGATCCTGCAGGATCCTGCGAAGACCCCCTCTGGCTGACACGGGTTAGCGAGCCGCTCGTGACTGCGAGGCGGCCGCGCATATTGGTTGACCAGGGTTTGCGACGACCTGCGTTGCAGTTTTTTTTCCTGCATTGCAGTTTTCGGTTTCCTGCTGACCCGGGGCTGGATTGACCCGGGTCAGAAGATCCCCGAGAAGCCCGATCACAAACGACGCCCACCTCCGCACCTGCAGCACACCGGACTGTTCCCATGTGCGGGCGCGCTTTCCCCCTCGGGTTCTGCGGGCGCATCTCCCCAACGTTGTCGTCGCCTTTGGGCTTGTCAATCCCAGGGACAGGGATCAGTTCCAGGCTCGGGCCAGACGAAAGGGGGGGATAGGGAAAGGGGGGGTGACGAAATCTAAGGTGCGCAGCTGGTTTCGGCCCCACCGAGGGGCCCGTTTCTCGATACATGGCCGCCGCCGGCGCCGGGAGGCGCCGGGAAAATCAGCTACCTTGGCATCGCTCGGACGTGTGTATTTTTTTTCTCGGCGACGGCCAGCGAGGACCATCCTTGATCATTTGGCGGAAAAAAAAACACGCACGAAATCGAAAAATACACGAGGAATGGACGTCCGAGCGATGGCGAGCTACGTGAGCCGATTCTCCCCCCCCCCTGTGCTATCCCCCCCTCTCGCCCGGCTCGACAGGGTGCTTACCTCTCCCGCGCCGCGGGCGGCCCCGCGCCCCCCCCGCGCGCGCAGGCGCGAGTGGGGGTGTGGGGGGGGCAGGCGCGTCGAGCGCCGCGCTGGCGCGGCGGCGGCTGGCCCAGACTTCAGTCGGGCCTGTCCCTCTACAGGAGAGATACAGTCGGGGCCCTGAATAAGGAACCCTTTTCGCTGGGGAGGCGCTCGGTGTTCCTTGATTGTTTCAAAGTTTGCCTTCGGTTTTCATGCGGTTTTCATAGGACATCGAGGTTGAACTTACGGGAAAAAGGGGCCTCGTTCCTTATTCAGGGTTCCTGAGGTCAACGCCCCCACTGTATGCAAACTAGTCAAAACATACTTTGGGGACGATTTTTTCACTACTTTAGAGCATTTGGGGAATAGTTTTGGAGTATATTTTTTTCGTCCAACATCCCCCTGTAGGAAGACATGCCCGACTCAAGCCTAGACTCAGGGGAGGCCTATCCTGCCCCTGGCAAACCATCCCCCTCCTCAACGTCCTCCTCCCCTCGCCCCAAGACGTACGCATGCGGTCGGAGGGAAGCTTGAATGGCGAGGATGTCGTCTCGGAACAAGATGGTCTGCTCGGGGTCGGTTAGGCTGCGCCCGATAGACTCGACACAAGCACACATAAACATTGCCGGCGGCAAGTCATGGGAGCCTCTCATACCTCGCCATGGGAGAAACGGGTCCTGAGGTTTGTCGCCGTTTTCGGGCCCCGAGACAACCAGAAAATAGCTCAGGATGAAAAGTTCGTCTTGTGGGAAGGCCCCAGGGCTCAGGAAGCGTTTCCCCTCAGGACCCGTAATCCCCATGCTGACGTATACCTTTCAAACTCCGTCTCTAGGGTGCGCTGGCGTCGATTGGCGTCTGGTGGTCAATGAGATAACGCAGATTTAGCTTCGATTAGCGTTTTTTAGAGTAGACTTAGATCATATTAGCGCCGATTCGCAAGAGCCAACAAGACGGTATGGGAGGCTCCACCAGTTGCCTAAGAAATTATTCTGAAAGCAAGCAGGAAGCCACATACATGTTGATTCAAGAGGCTTACGCCATTCCGCCGACCCCCAGAGGAGGCAGGGAGTCCACGGTTGAGGCGTCGTGGACTTCTTGGGCATGATCTTGGGACTCTTGTGGGCGTCTTGAGAGCTGTTTGGGGTCCTGGTGGAGCCTCATGGAGGCAGTTCTGAAGCGTTGTTGGGGCCGCTTTGGAGCTTCATTCGAACCGGCACACCCACACACATGCTCATTTCCATGATAACGGCGGCGGGAATATGGCGGAGGTTGAGTTCCACGTACGTTCGCCTAAGATACGCGGCGCGGCGGCGCACGAGGGAAACATTTGCACAGACACATGAGCGCCGATGTCCGTGAGAGCGTGATGCGAGTAGGGGAGCGGGACGTCCGGGAAGCACGGACGAGGATGGAGCATCCTCGAGTCTGGAATCCGTGCCGATCTGCGCCTGCCCTCCTACCCGAGCATTTTCTTTGGGTGGAAGGCAGCGGGTGAAATCTGGAACGCCGTTTCGATGGGTTCTCGAGGCCTGAATCCACAAAAGGTGACCCACAAGACGGATGGATTTTCGAGTGCACGAGCCCATATGGATTTCACCCTGAGCCCTCCACCCTCAGAAACATGCTCACCTTCGGCCCCTTCCTGTCGACGCCGCCCGGTGGCCCGAGCTCGGCCGATGTCGAACGACCCGCGCGGGTCGGGCACGCCGCGGTCGCTCGGGGACGAGTCGCCCGCGCGGCCGGCAGATGCCGAGGCTTATGTTGGGCGTGTCCCGCTACAGGGGGATTTTGCCTCAACAATACCCCCAAAAAGGTCAAACAAATAGTCAAAACATAGTCCCCAGACTATTTTCGGTTGATGTTTTGATTATGTTTGGCGTATGTTTTACTTGGCATCGCTCGGGCGTGTGCATTTTTTCCTTCGGCGAGGACCATCGAGGAGCATCCGTGATCGCTTGGCGAAACAGCCACACGCACAACACCGAAGAAAGCACAGGGAATGGACGTCCGAGCGATGGCCAGCTTACTGTGCGTCGGACTGTTTTTCGATTCTGTTTGGCGTATTGTTTATGGTTCGTCGAACATCCCCCTGTAGGGGGGACAGGCCCGACTGAAAAGCCGAGGCCGCCGCCCGCCACGACAGGGGGGGGGGGGCTCCCCCGCCCCGCACGGGGGAGCCGCGCCTCCGACCGGGACCGGGGGGTCCCTCTGCCGCCCGGGAGGGGGAGGGAGAGGAGGGGGAGGGAGGAGGAGGGGGAGGAGGAGGAGGAGGGGGAGGAGGAGGAGGAGGAGGAGCAAACGGAGGAGGAGGAGAAGGAGGAGGAGGAGGAGGAAACGGAGGAGGAGGAGGAAACGGAGGAGGAGGAGGAGGAGGCGAGGCCTCCGACCGGGGAGGGGTCCCTTTGCCGCCCCCCCCCCTGTCGGCTAGACGTAAGAGTGACCTTTCGCGCCGGAGTGACCTTTGGTGCGGGCCCAATGGGTGCCCCAGGTCGCCAAGAACGCGGTGCGACAGCAGCGTCTTGCGCGCCTGTGTTTGGGCCCCCCGCGGTCCCCAGAAAGTCGCGCACCAAAGGTCACTCTTACCCAGGGTCACTCTTGCGCGTAGTCGACCCTGGCACAGCACGGAGCCGCAGGCAAGACACGACGGGAGTCTGCTGCTGCGGGCCCCCCGGGGCCCCCGCGGATCTCCGGGTGCAGCTCCTGGGAGGTTAAACATTCGGACTTAGCCCTGGTCCGAGATCCAGCTTCATCCAGCTTAATCCCGCTTAATCTGGCTGAATCCCGCTTGATCCGAGGCCCACTCTGGCGTAACAGCCCCCCAATGGGGCTTACTCCTCCTTAATCCTTCCGACGAAAACCTACCAGTAGTTGCCTCCTGACGGATCGATCGGGGTCCCTGGACATCCCGTGAAGAGATGTTGTTGTGAGCGCCAGTCGCGTTTCTGCATTTCGATTCGGTACTTCATGCACGACGTCATACCTCAAGGGTCCTCGCAAGGCCGCCCCGCACCATGAGGGTGGTGATGAGAAGGGGGGGGGATAGGGGCGCGTCCTCCATCTGCAAGAAGATACGGACGAGGCGAAAGGAGGAGCTGCTATAGGAGAGAAGGGAGGAGCAAGAGGGGCGATCGGGGGAAGGAGGGAGAATGGAATCGGAATGGAAGGGTGACCGTGCTGGCAGACCACGCAGCCAGCGTCGCTGGATGGCCAGTGGCCCTGGTCGGGTTAGGGCGGCGTGAACGGCGCCAGAAGAGGAAGGAGTGGTGCGCTGGCCGCCAGGACGGCGGTTTTGGAATATTTTGCAGATGGAGCGCAAAGAACTTGTACACAGATCTGAGGAACTGCTCGGGATTTCCATCTCTTGATCACACTCGCTCTAGAAGGGGGCTGCACACACTGGCAAGTTCGCTGGGGCAGTGGGCCTGTCGTCGTTGCGAGTGATGGGGGCACGTGCTTGACCCGCCTTGCGCATAAGATGTCAGATGATGATGTTGAGGACTACTGTGGGATGGGCAAGGGGAAGAGAAGAGAGATATACTGGGAGGACGTGGAGAGTAGTGGGCAAGGTGGCAGGATGATGGGAGGCAGGGGAAGGGGGGGGGAGCGAAGGGAGGCGTGAGGAGGGGGCATGGCATGCCAGGAGCGAGGGGAGCGGAGGGAGCCTGGGATGCGAGTGGCAGAGGGGATGGGTGGAGTGGAGGGCAGGGGGATAGCGCAGAGGTCGAGGAGAAGGTAGGACGAGAGAGTGGTGGAGGACGAGCGGAGGGAGCGGAGGGCGGCGGGCCACTCGGGGAGCAGCCCGGGAGAGGAGGGCCGTGCTCCGCTCCTCCTCTCGCCCGGCGGCCCCCCCCCACCAGCCCGGGGCGCTTCTTTCAGGAGGGGAAGAAAGCACACATACACAATGTTTATCGTCGATGTCCCAGAAAATATGGGAACATATGGGAAGTGGGGGGGAAGAAAAAAACACCGGAAACTGTGGGATAATCTGGGGGATCCTGTTATTTGTGTGTATTTGTGTGTGTGTGTGTGTGTGTGTGTGTGTGTGTGTGTGTGTGTGTGTGTGTGTGTGTGTCCCGGGGCCCCTTTTTTTTCTTCAGCGACGGAGGGGGCGGCTGCCGCACACCTCTGCCCGTCCGTGCGCCCCTGCGCTCCGCGCAGCCTCGGGCGGTGGAGGGGGCAGCGTCTGCAGTGCGGTCGGGCCGAGGTGCCGTGGAGACTCACGCCAAGAAGCATCCTGCTCGCCTCCAGGGTGCCCTGGGTTTCTTTGGTTTTGATGATGCGATGGAAAGCGTGAGTTCCCCACACCAGAAATCAATGAACGTCCCTGGGGTCTCAGGGTTGGGTTTCTTGCGGAAGGTTTCTTGTGGACTGGCCTCCACTGTACAGGATTTGTTGAGGTCGGTTCGGGGAAGGTGCCCTGATATTCTTCGTGCATGCCAGAGGTTCTTGTGCATCCTGGGGGCAGGGGGGGAACCCTTTTCTGTCCTAGGTCCCGCCGTACACATACTCAGCTCAAGCGATGGCTCCTCAGTAGAATTATGCTGAGCGCGCCGCAGTAGACGCCCAGAGAAAAGGGCGTTGCGTAGTGAAGAGTAGTCAGGACGAGCAGAGGGAGCCACCAGGGCTTGGATGGGGCAGGCCATACAGTATCAGAGGAGGCACTGTGGCGGGCGGTTTCCAGCCATGCCCAAAGAGACCTGACCAAAATCCCGTGCTTGCCTCCTCTGGGCTAGCGGTGGCGGCGGCCCAGCTTCTCTGGATTCAGGTGATCGATGCCGGAGCCCGACGAGAGCAAGGGGCCAATGAGCCTCCCGCCTCTGATCGGCTGAAGTGAACACATGACATCTTTGGGTTGCGTTCACCCCCTTCTCTTCCTCCTCGGTCCTCGAGTGTCGCAGCAGTTCGCTATTCGCGCGCATCTTTGGCCGTGCCCCAGCCGGCAAAAGCATCCTCTCCTCCACTTTCTTCAGAAGGGGCACGAGGTCATGACAGTGATACGCTCTGGGGTCCCCAGGATTTCCAAGACCACCCAATGCTCCACATGGGCTGCAGAAACGACGGCCGTTATATACTCTGGAACTCTCGTGGGACGTCTCCTGAGCCAATCGCATCACGACATCATTCCCGTCCCACTTCTTCCCGCCCTCCACGCGTGAGTGGAGGCGGATCTTCCTGAGCAATGAGCGCCTCCGTGGGAATGCTCGGTGCTGGCGGAGCTGCGGCGGCCGGGACGGCAGCCGTCGCAGGAGCCGACTGGGCTTCTCTCGTTTGCCCCCCCCTCCATCCCCCCGGGACGGATGGGCAGGCGCAGGCGGAGGCGCATCGAGGCCCCCAAACGGTGCGCTGACCACGCCGTGTAGTGAGCCAGCGGGGGTGCGGGGGGGGCCGCACGGTTTTGAGATTCTCGGAAGAGAGATGAACAACCTTTTTTGGCGGTATGTTCGGATTTCTCGGATCTGGGAGGGGGCTCCCTGGCGGCGTATCTGACGCCACCGCTGGCGCTGTCCGCGCGCCAGGAAGGGGGTTTAGCACAGATCCGAGAACTTATGCGCGAACCTCCGAAAGTTGGTGTTTGTGCAGATTAGTCTTCCGCCACTCGCGAGTTGTTTTCCGAGGACGTTTCGGGCGACTGGGGACTTTGGATCCCAGCAACGTGCGGTGACGGACCGTGCGGCGAGGTCATTGGGGGATCTCGAGGACACCACACGGTCATGTCACCGCACCGTTCTGGGAACCCCGAGAGGTGGGGGATTACCCTCGCGGGCCCGTCGGCTCAGCTCATTTTCGGCTGCGGCGACGGCGGCGATGACGACGGCGACGAGGGCGACGCCCGACAGAGGTCGGCTGTGCGCAAAGATAGGGCCAGGGCGGGGGGGGCGGAAGGCACCTCCTAATAGTCCCTCTGGGAAGCCTCTGAGATGGAGCCGCTCCCTTCCAAGATGCGTGCCCTCTTGGAAGCGCCCCCCTCCTCTTCCTCCCCAACTTTCAGGTGGAGCGTTCCAACGAGGGCCTTGTCTTCGAGGATCGAAGGAGTTGCCACCTCTTCCGCGGGGAGGGCGGCGAAAGGGCGGCGGAAGTAAAACAAGGGCAGCTCCGCCGGCGAAAGCGGGCGGAAGGCTGCGGAAATAAAAGATGCGCTTCCAATAGATACCATGTCGTTTAGATTCAGGGCCTCTGGAATCCGCCATTTGACCAGATCGGCTTCTTACATTTCTCGCACGCGTGGCTCATCACACGCACTTTTTTTTTTTCGGTCGGCGGGTCGGGAGCGGGCCCCTTCCGGTTAAGAGCCAGGCGGGGCGCGCGAAGCCCCAATTGGGGAGACAGGGCGCGGGCGGGCGGGGCCGCAGGCGGCCGGAGGGTGCAGAGCACAGGCGGTGCCGAAGTTCTTGCACAGGAACAGGTACGGCGTGGAGAGGAGCCGGCACGCGTGGCTTATCACACACACGCACACACGCACAACAGGATCTGGAGACTGCGGCCTCGCCCACGTGGTCTCATATTATAGGCCCAGAGCCCCCCTCCCTCCTCCTCCTCCTCCTCCTCCTCCTCCTCCTCCTCCTTCTCCTCCTCCTCCTCCTCCCCCCCTCCTCCTCCTACCTCCTCCTCCTCCTCCTCCTCCTCCTCCTCCTCCTCCTCCTCCTCCTCCTCCTCCTCTTCCTCCTCCTCCTCCTCCTCCTCCTCCTCCTCTCCTCCTCCTCCTCCCCTCCTCCTCCTCCTCCTCCTCCTCCTCCTCCTCCCTCCTCCTCCTCCTCTTCCTCCCTGTTGGCACGCCCCCTCCTCTCTCCGCCGCGCCGCCAGGCTTGGCTCGACCTCCCGCGGGCCGGCCCGCTGCCAGCTCTGGCCGTCGCCTCGCGGCCCGCTCGGGTGTGTGACGCCGACGGGCATGACGTGACATGGAGGAGGAGGAGGAGGAGGAAGTCAAGACAGGAGGAGGAGGAGATGGAGGAGGAGGAGGGGAGGAGGAGGAGGAGGAGGAGAAGGAGAGGGCGGAGGAGGAGGAGGAGGAGGAGGAGGAGGAGGAGGAGGAGGAGGAGCAGGAGGAGATGGAGGAGGAGGAGAGGAGGAGGAGGAGGAGGAGGAGGAGGAGGAGGAGGAGGGAGGAGGAGGAAGGAGGAGGAGAGGAGGAGTGAGGAGGAGGAGGAGGAGGAGAGGAGGGAGGAGGAGGAGGAGGAGGAGGAGGAGGAGGGGGAGGAGGGGGAGGAGGAGGACGATGAGGAGGGGCAGCAGGAGGAGCAGGACGAGCGGGTGTCGAGATGCTGACTGCATCTGGTGTCGCCGCCCAGCCCCACCGCCGCCCGTGGATCGGCCCCGCCCCGCCGAAGTTCCGGTGCTTTGTCTTTCGAGTGCAGAGCGAGCGTGGGCCGGCCGATGCCTTGCACGCCGTCTTGGCAGCGGGGGCCCCTTGAGAGTCACAACACGTTCCGATCGAGAAGGTTTTAGAACGGTCTGTCCTGCGGCGCCGCCGACGGGCAGAGGTGGTGAGTCGCGATCGGTCGTGATCTTTAGCGGCAGATGCGCCACCACCTGCCCCTGGGTTTCCTCCTCGCGTTTCCGAGCTCAGGTGCTCGAGTGTTCTCTTCTGGCGGTGATGCGCACAGGTGAGCGATGCAAAAAAAGGGTTCGCCTTCACCGACATCAGCGTGTAAGCTGCCCGCGTAAGGTCGCGCGTAAGCTTCCTGGTCTGCAACGTGGCCTGCCGCGCTGGTGGCCCGCGTAAGCCACCGCTTAAGGTCGCTGTGCCATCTCGCGTAAGACCCGTTTCCATCGCCGCTCAGGTGTTCTCGTCGGCTGGTGGGGCAGTCGTCGCCTCGTGCAAGCCGAGAGAGGGTCCCCTCATGGATGCCCCGCCTGCCCTTCCGCTGCCGCTCGTGCCAGCGGAGACGCCGCTGCCGGCGGCCCCCACGCGGAGGATCGTGGCTCTTCGACTACAACCGCGCAAATTTCCAGTTCGACCAGGGCCAGCGCTGGGGCCGCTTCACCGCTGCCCGAGGCTTCGCGAACGCCCAGGCCCGTTGGCGTCGGGTGGGGCGGCGGGCCAGAGGGCTCAGGAGAGGCCAAGCGTACCCCAGAACAGACTTGACCCTCCCCCTCCCCCTCCTCCTCCTCCTCCTCCTCCTCCTCCTCCTCCTCCTCCTCCTCCTCCTCCTCCTCCTCCTCCTCCTCCACCTCCTTCGAAGACCCACAAAACAGCATGAGCATCACATCTTGCAGATCCGCGCGGATCTCCCGGATCTGCGTTGTGGCTCCCTTGGCGGCGCCTCGGGCGCCGCCCCGTGCGCCGGGGCGGGGGGGGGGTCGGAGGGTCGCGCCGCATCGCAGATGCATTTGGGATGCGGCGCCAGCTGGAGCGTGGATCCCGATTTTCTCGACGCCGTCGGCTCCGATGCATCGGCGATGCATTGCTACGTGGCGTGAAAACGACCACAGCCACTGCTTTTCTTTTGTTGCCGCCGTCCAGCCCGCAGAAACAAAGCAGTGGTTGTGGTCATTTTCGTTGAGCTTGGTACCAGGGAAATGACCACAACTACTGCTTCTTTTTCGGCAGGCTGGAAGGCGGCGCAAACAAGAAGCAGTGGCTGTGGTCATTTTCCCATCCCGCAATTGCCGATACATCGGGCCCCATTTAGGAGACCTCTACTGGTGGATGGCCTGGTCAGAAAGGGTTGGCCCAGTCGGCGTGTTCGAGCCAACGCGTTCGCCAACGGGGGTGCAGGCGAGTGATGCTGCCGCCGTCGCGCGCCGGGTTTGGGAGGGATCCAGCTCCGATCTGAAAGGCTGCACGGGCCTTCAAACGGTTGGGTTTATGCAGTTTCTTCTGCGGCACACCCCGCACACGCTTCGTGGGCCTATTGGGAGCTCACTCCACCGAAGGCCACGGTGGGAGGGTCCACATGCGCCCCCCGCCCCATTTCGACACACCCCTCACATGTTTTGAGGCCCCAAAGGGATCGCCACCGAAGACGACTCTCGCAAGGGAGTCCCTCATATCTGCATGTGGTTGGGTCCTTCGCCGGGCTAATTAGATCTCTTCCTCCATCATCGTTCCGCAGGACGCGGGGGCATCTCGATGGGGCCCGCGGTGTCGGGTGCGGGGCAGGTGGTTGCGCGCGTCGGCGGCCGAGTCCTGCCCTTCCGAGGGAGACCGCCCCCGAGGGACGCGGTGATCCGTGGAGACCAGCGGACGCCACATCCACAAGCGAGCCTCTGTCGCTGCAGCCCTGCACGCCCCTTGACCCCTGAGCGACGCAGAAAAACGGGGTCGTCTTGACCGGCACTGGCGCGAAGGCTGCGTCTTCAAGGCCGCGCGCAAGCGCCCTCGTCTCCGATGTGGCGTGCCGCGCCAGCGGCCCGCGTAATTGAGCCACCTCGTAAGGTCGCTACGCCACCTCGCGTACGACCCGTTTCTGATCGTCGCTCGCTGAAGCTCAGGAGGGGAAGAAACACACAGACACAATTCATCGTCGATTCCTCAGAAAATATAGGAACATCTGGGAAGTGGGGGGGAAGACAAAAACCCAGCAAATATAGGAAAATATGGGGAATCATTCTATTTGTGTGTATTTGTTTGTGTGTCCCAGGGCCCCTTCAGAAGCGTCGGACGTGGCGAACTGGCTCGTCTCGGGCACCATCGATGCGAGGCGGGCCGCCCGGCGTCCGAGGGAGTGCGCGCCTGCCGGGGGCCGGGCGCGGGCCGGAACTGTGGAAGCCGATTCATGGAGAGGGAGCATGCTGCCAAATAGTTTCCAGATGTCTAACACATGTGTTTCGAACATGCTTTAAATATGTAAAAACATGCTTGACGCCGGTTTAGAACATGTGCTTACACATTTTAAGCACATCTTCAATTCAATGATGGGATTGTTAGAGTATCCATTGTCATGGCATCCAGAAGGCTGGAACCAGCATCCGGCACCGATGCGAGGCCAGGCGTTCGTTGCATGCTGGAGCCGTCTGTCGCCCGCGCGCAGAGAGGGGTAGGGAATTGGGGAAGGCATCTTAGAAGCACCTCTGCTTCTTGGAAGGCGCGGGCCTTCTCTGTACGTGTAGGGCCCGCGCCTTCTGAGAAGCAGCCTCCTTCTAAGAAGCCTTCCCCCCTCCCCCTGCCCCTATGTGCGCGCCGCCAAGTCTGCGGGTAATTCTGAGTAGGTGGTCAGGAGTGGTGCCGGCCTGCAGGGAGGGCGGGCAGGTTCGAGTTGTTGGGTTCGGGAAGTTTGGGCTGCTTTTTGTTAGCCTTTGGGGGCAGTTTGTGGGCCCTGGGACCGTGATCAGTGGAGCCAGAGTGAAATCTTGTACCAGATGGATCCCAGGGGGGGGGTTCAGGGACCGATTTTGAACGGAATTGGAATCATCAGTTTCGAGACATCGTGGACGTATCGCAATGGGGAGAGACGCTCTCAATTTGACTATCTCTTGTTGGACAGACGGTGGTTTTCTTTGGCACGATATTTTTTTTTGTTGCTGCCGATGTTGACATTGGTTCGGATCATCGGCCCGTGTTCGCGGAGATCTCTGTCCCAGACGTCGCTCCTCGAAGGCGGCGTGCGAAACGAGCGAGACGGGCGACGCCCTGGCAGTCAAGCAGCCGCTATCGAGATATATTGGAGCGGTATCTGCAACAAGTGCCGTGGCAAGAGTGCAACGCAGCAGAACGTATTGTCAATTTGAATTGTTGTCTGGCCAAGGCAGCTTTTGAGGACGAGGAGCAGAGCCCGGATGTTGATGAAGTGCCTGATCCAAGCAAGGCCAATTCCACAATCCATCACCTCATCGATGTTCGGCGGGCCATTGCGCAAGCGGAACTGCCACAGACGGAACAGAAAGCGTTGAGAATTAGCATTGGAAAGAGGATACAGTCGTTGATTCGCCATCGCCGGATTCTGTAGCATACTGAAATAACGATACGGTTTTAGTTCATTTCCGACATGTCAAGCAAATTTCTTCCATGACGAGCGGGCGTCGGAAGTCCCACTTCACCGAGATGAAGGACAAAGTTGGCCAACTCGTGAACGAGAAGCATGGTATTGCAGAAGTTGTTGCACAGTTCTACGAAGAGCTGTACGCGAGGATCCGGCCAGAGCGCTCGCAGAATACATCTCCTCCTGTGGGTGACAATCGAGTGCCGCCTGTCACCATGGATGAACTGAAAGAAGCGATACGCCAATTGAAGCTCCACAAAGCCGCTGAGGACAATGGAGTGAGAGCAGAGGTGATTAAGATTGACTCTGCGGTCTTGCGAGATCTGCTGTTGGACACGTTCACGCAACGAGGTCCTGAACCCATGTGCAGACTTACCGACTGGCTGGCTCCGAGTTCGCATCACATTGTTTTGACCAGATGGGGGGCTCTTCTTCACCCGCGAATTATCGTCCCACTGCAATGTTAGAAATCTTCTACAACTTGTTTAGCCGAGTGCTGCGTGACACGGCTGAGACCCACCATCACGAGAGAGCAATCGGCAGACCAGGCAGCATACCGGAAAAAAGGATATGGAACCACTGACTATATGTTGACAAGGAGGCGTGCCACGAGTTCAGCACGCCTCTTTGGATCTGCCTGGTTGTTGTCCAGAAGGCCTTCGACACAGTCGAGCACGAGATTCTGTGGGAAGCACTGGCAGACCAGATCGTGGGACACGAATCTATCAACATGCTCACACGATTGTGTGCCGAACAGTCGGCGTGCGTCACGGCAGGCAAGGCCACCTATTAGTTCTTCATTATGTGTCGTCGTCATGGAGGCAGCGGAAGCTGAAGGCGCGCTGGGCTAGCCTGAACCACAAGCGTCTTGGTTCGTTGTACGGCATGGTCATTGACAGCCCCGGAGACTCCCTTACGAATCGCAGATTTGTTGATGATGTGTTGCTGGTGGCATCCTCTACCAGAGAGTCGTCAATGATGCTTCCTGATATGGAGACGGAAGCGCGCAGATACGGTCTTGCAGAACGGCAAAACTAGTTTTTTGTTTTTGTTGTTGTTATTATTCTCCTTCTTCTGGCGAGCGTCGACAACAGGCCGGCCACTCTGCGGTGCGGGGGCAATGATGCGCGAATGCTTCAACGCGGTCAGCCTGAGAAATACATGGGGCGCGAGTTTTCCTTGGATTCTTATCGTGAGACGGAGTTGCAGTGCAGGATAGGGCGCGTGTTTGGGCAGCACTCGCAAAACACAACTTCGCGTTCTGCAGCCGGCGTATCAAGATGCAGCGCCGCATGCGGCTTTTCCAAACAATCACTGCGCCGTGTGTGATGTATGTCTCTAGTGCATGGACGCTCGCATCGGAGCAGCAGCGACAACTGCAGAGCGCGCGACGACGGATGCTCATAATTATTCTTGGTGCGCGGCGGCTCCCTGACGAAAGTTGGTTGGATTTTATCAAACGTTCTACTTCTGCAGCGTTTGACCTTGCTCATAAATGCGGCGTTCGTGATTGGGTTGATGAGGCGTCTCCACGATCAGATGCAATCGGCCTCTGGCAGGAGTTTGGTGGCGAGGCTACTGGACTGGCACCCATGGCACCGCGCACATGCCCGGCGACGCGTTGGAAGGCAGCTTAAACGTTGGCAAGACACCTGAGAGTGCAAGTGAGGGTTGCGCGCGGCCCGGCGTCATGCTGGGGCAGACTCTTCTGCCCTACGGGCCCTCTCTCTCTGTCTCTGTCTCTGTCTCTGTCTCTGTCTCTGCCTCTGTCTCTTTCTCTCTCTCTCTCTCTCTCTCTCTCTCTCTCTCTCTCTCTCTCTCTCTCTCTCTCTCTCTCTCTCTTTCTCTCCCTCCACTGGCAGGTTTTCTGAAGTACCAGCCAGTTCAGACCGTTCAGTTACATCGGCCGTCCAAGTTGCAGGAGCGCGAAGTGTTTTCTCCCGAGCGGGGGTTCTATCAGATTTGGGTTTCCAACGTGACATGCGACTCCCGCAGCTGCGCGGTTCGTCAGCGCCCCTCCGCGGACGCGCTTGCTTGGCCTAGCCCCCCAGCCTTGCACTGGGGTGGGGCAGTGTGCAGCATGGGGGGCTAACCAGTCGCGTTGCGTTTGGAACGCACGTCGGAGAACATCAACGGCATAAACATGAGCTGCTGATGGTCCGCGCGGAGTTCCTGGACCGGCGCTGGGCCCCCCGGTGGCGCCTCTGGCGCCACCTCGTGCGCTATGGAGGGGGTCGGAGGGTCGTGCCACATCGCCGATGCATCGGCGACGCGGCGCCTCCAGCGCCGCCACTGGCGCGCTTGGAGGAGGAGTTTCGGCGCAGATATGAGAAATCCGCGCGGGCCTTTGAACATTTGTGTGCATGTAGTTTTTCCTTCCGATGTCATCACCATTGCAACGTTGGCCAGCGCCCATCAGCGCGCGGTCTGAAGCTCGACCTCCTTCCCTCGCCTCTGGGGACCTCTCAAGGGCCTCGTCGGGCTTGTGGTGGAGCTCTCGGGGGTCTCGTTGGGTTTCCTGGGCCGTCTTGCGGGCCAACCGCAAACCTTGCAGAATCGAGGTGCCCACCGCGCCCTCCCACGAAGACCGCGTTCGTCTTGCGGCGCTCTTTGCGGACCAAGGGCAAGCCGGAAACCGAATCGTCCGCGGGGTCGCGGAGGCAGAGCCCGCCCGCGGCCACAGAGCCCGCGGGCGCAGTCTCCCACGCCAGCCGCCCACTCGAGACTACATGTTGTCTTGTTTTGGGCTTCTTCGGGTGGGCGATTGCTGGGTTGCTGCGCTTGTGGCTCGGTGGCGCGAGGAGGGATTTCTCCGCCGTGGGATGCAGAATCCGTGATTTCAGGCTTTGAGGAGGAAGCTTTTTGAGGCATCGTTTGTTTTCTAGCCGTGAAGGGCCCTGCCCAGGCGCATTCGTAGTAGGTCCCCTTGGCTATGAGAAGTGGGTCACTGTGCAACGCAACAGGAAGTTGGAATGAGCGCATAGAGCCACCACGGGCGAGCGCAGAGAGTCACCACGGGCGTTCCGCGTAGGTGGGCGCGAGAGGCTTTCTTTGGGGATCCAGAGTTTGCAAGCAATTTTGGCCAGAAGGGCCCGCACAATTCTCGACACCGATGGATCGACAGGGTGATTTTGTGAGAGGCTACGGCCTGCGGCTCCACCGTCATCCTGCGCAGTGGGCGCTCCCCGCATGCGCGAGGAGCGGTGCTCTACAAATGTTAGCAAGGCCCTCCAAGGCCCTTGCCTCCTCACCGCGCATCCTTGCTATATGTGCGGAGTGTGGGTGCAGGAGGGACGATGCATTCAAGGGAGGAAAATCCACCCGGACCCGACAATTGACGTTTTCTAAACGGCCTTGGGCGTTTGCTAAACAGCCCTGACTTGTTTGATTCCTTCTTCGGGTGCGTTTACTAAAGGGCTTCGCGTGTCGGGGTGGTTACTGCCGGGGTGGATTCTCTGCTTTCTACGGATCACTCGTATTGCGCCCTCCCCCGTCGTCGGGTGATGGGGGAGGAGGAGGACCGATGGCGATGCAGAGGGGGAGGCGCCCCTCACCCCCCGCGGCCCCTGCGCCGAGGAGGGGCGCGGGGGGCGGCGCGCAGGTCAGCCAGTACCGCGAGGACATCATCGGCATCACTTCCGTCACGCAGAGCAAGATGGACGCGTGGGCCCCGCCCGCGACCCCTGCGCAGGGGCGGAGGGCCACGCGCCCCCCCCTCTGGCTCTTCCTCCTCCTCCTGCTGCTGCTGCCTCCTCCTCCTCCTCAGCCTCCTCTTCCTCCTCCTCCTCCTCCTTCTCCTCCTCCTCCTCCTTTTGCCTCCTCCTCCTCCTCTTCCTCTTCCTCCTCAGCCTCCTCCTCCTCCTCCTCCTCCTCCTCCCGGCCCGCGCCCCCGCGTGTTGGCGGAGGGGGCCACGCGGCCCTCGGCGGCACGGAAAATCCGCGGAGCCAGAGCCTCCTCGGAATTCTTTCGGCGTCCGCGGAGCTGCCGCGGAGGGCCTGCGCGGCCTGGGCGCGTGCCGTTGGCTCCCCCTCCCCTTGGCATCGCTCGGACGTGTGCGTTGCGTTGTTCCTTCGGCGAGGACCATCGAGGAGCATCCTTGATCATTTGGCGGCAAAACCACGCACGAAACCGAAAGAAACACAGGGCATGGACGTCCGAGCGATGGCGAGCCGTGGCATCGCGCGGACGTGTGCATTGTTCCTTCGGCGAGGACCATCGAGGAGCATCCTGGGTCATCTGGCGGACAAAACCACGCACGACACCGAAAGATACACAGGGCATGGACGTCCGAGCGATGGTGAGTCCCCCGCTCCGCGGCCGCGCCCCCCCCCCCCCCCGCTCGCCGATCCCCCTGGCGTGCCCATTCGCCTCGTCGCGTCTCCGCTCGGGCTCTCCGACCGCCCGCGCGCTCGCGGGCGCTCGATGAGTTTTTTTTTCTTGGCGTCAGGCGTCCCGAATCCGAGCGCCAGGCTCAGGGGTTGCAGGGTGCGGGCCCCAAAGCCCCCCTTCCCCATGCGCAGCATGGCCTCGGGCAGCGCCCGCCGCCAGCGTCCGAATCGGCACGATCCTCCGAGCCAGCGCTCTCGGAACAGCGGCGCCCGCCCCCAGGGAAGGGGGCCGAGATTTCCGGGGAACGGCGGCCCGAAGCGGTCGAGTCGCGGGAGCGGTATGCGGGCCCTTGTCGCCGCGGCCTGGTTGGCCCCTCGCTTCTGGATGGGACCACGGGCCGACTCTGAGGTGGAGGAGGGCGGGGGGCCTCCTCGTTCTCCTGGTCCTCCTGGTCCTCGTGCTCCTCCTGCCTCCTCCTTGCCCCCCGCTTTCCTCCCTCCTCCTCGCCGTGCTCTCTCCTCTGCTCCCCGCTCCTCTCTCTGCCCCCCCCACCCTCAAGCGGTGGCGAAACGGTCTGGCCCGCCTATAGCCCCACCAAGCAATGTTCTAGGAACCTTTGGTGGCTTCCACGAAATGTTCTTTGAACATTTCTGGCTGGGGCTGTCTTGTTTTAACGCATCGGGCTTATGTTCTAAGTACATTGTTTTTGTCCTTAGAACATCGTTGGGTTCTAAGAGCATTTCGTGGTAGGACTATAGGAATGCCGGTAGGGTCGGTCCCTGCGCAGCACCTGTGCCCCACGGAGAGCAGGAGCAGCATGGGGCGCCATGAGGGGGGGGGAGGAGCAGGACGCGGAGGACGAAAGTTGAAGTTGCTGGGGGTCCGCGAGGTGGCCCAGCACCGGTTCTGGCCAGCAGGAAATGCGGGCAGGCTGGAGGCTCTGGGCTCGGGAGGGTTCCCGTGCGCCTGTTTCCGGCCTCCGGGGGCCGTTTACGGGGCCCAGGACCGTGGGAAGCGGATCGGAGGTGAGGAGTTTCTCCGAAATGGATCGGGGAAGGGTTGCGGCGACAGATTTTGAGCAGATCTGGCTTCATCTCCTCCCCCTAACCGATATTCGGGAGGCACGACCATTTCAGACCCTCTGGCCGCCTCCAAGAAGAAAGAGAGCATCGGAATGAAGAGGAGGATGAGATGATGATCGGTGATCCTCTTCCCCCTGAGGGAGAGGAGTGAACGGTATGAGTGAGAATTGATTCGCATGATGATTATGATGAAGACGATCTTGCTGATGATGATTCTGATGATGATGATGCTGATGATGATGATTATGATGGTAATGGTGATGATTATGGTCATGCTGATGCTGATGCTGATGGTGATGATGGTGATGTTGTTGATGATGGTAAAGGTGATGGTGATGATCATGATCATGATGATGTTGACGATGATGATGACAACGATGATGCGGATGATGATGATGATGAGGAGGATGCTGATGCTGACGATGGTCATGATTATATGGATGGCGATGATGCTGATAATGATTATGATGACGAGCAGGATGATGCTGTTGATGCTGTTGATGCTGATGAGGCTGCTGATGATTATGCTGATGATGATGATGACGATGCTGATGGGGATGATGGTTATGATCATGATGAACATGGTGATGATAATTATGCTTATGATGCTGATGATGCTGCTGCGGATTCTGCTGATGACGATGAAGATGACGTGGACGGCGATGTTGATGGTCGTCATGCTACGGATGATCATGACGATGATGATTATGGTGCAGGTGATGATGATCATGATGATACTGCTGATGCTGATGATGATGCTTATGCTAATGATGTTGATGCTCATGATGATGATGATGATGATGATGATGATGATGATGATGATGATGATGGTGATGGTGATGATGATGATGATGATGATGATGATGTTCATGATGATGATGATGCTGATCATGGTGATGGTGATGGTGATGGTGATTGTGATGGTTATGACGATGTGTTCGATGATGGATGTCAGTAATGATGACTATACTGATGCTGTTGATGCTGATGTTCATGACCATGGTGGTGGTGATGGTATTGGTGTTGATGATGTTGATGGTAGTTTTTGTGGTGATAATTTTGGTGCTGGTTATTATGACGGTGATGGTGATTTTGATACCGCTGATGACGGTGTTGGTGATGATGTTGATAGTGGTGGTGTCGTGTTGAGCATAATAATCCTGAAGATGATTATGGTGGTGATGGTCGTGTTGTTTGTGGTGGTGATGATGATGATGATGATGATGATGATGCTGATAATGGTGGTGATGGTGATGATGATCATGATGCTGATGATGATGCTGATGGTGATTGATATGCTGATGGTGGTGACGACTCTGATGGTGGTGGTGGTGGTTGTGATGACGATGTTGATGAGGACGATGCTGCTGGTGAAGGTGATGGTAATGATGCCCAGGTTGATCATGATGATGCTGACGATGATGATTATGAGGATGCTGATGATGCTGATGTTGATGATGCTTACGACCATGACGGAGACCATGCTGATGATGTTGATGATGATGATAATGATGGTGATGCTTATGATGATGACGATGATGGTGAGGATGCTGACGGTGATGATGCTGAGGATGCTGATTCTGAACATTGTGATGTTGGTGATGATGGGTAATACTATGATGCTGATGATGACGCTGATGATGCGGAGATGGAGAATGACAAGGAGGTGGGGAACGGGTGAGAATGGATGAGGATGAAGTGTCTGGACAGCGCGAGCCACACCGTGAGGAGTGAGCAGATGGGGCAAGGAGGAACACAAACGGAGAGCCACGGGATAGTGAAGAGGCGGTGGAGTAGGATGAGAGGAGGGGAGACACGGCCGATAAGCAGGAGGAGGAGGAGGGAGGAGGGACGGGGAGGATTAGGTATGCGAAGTGTGACGATGATGTGTATGGATCTCATGATGGTGATGCTGCTGGTGATGAAAATGACGATGCTGATGATGGTGGTGTTGTTGATAATGCTAATATTATGGTGATGGTTATGGTCATGATCCAGCTGCTGATGATGATGGTGCTGGTAATGATTATGATGATGATGGTGAGTGTGTTGGTGATGATGCTGATGATCATGATAATGATGATGGTGGTTGTGATGGTGATGATTGCGATGCTTATGGTGGTAGTGTTTTTGATGATGGTGCTGGGGAATGATAGTGATGGTGGTGATGATGATGATCACGATTGCCGTGATGCTGATGGTGATGATGATGATGCAGAAGCTAATGTTGATGTTGATGATAATGGTGATGATACATAGGATGCTGGTGGTGAGTTTGATGATGGTGGTGGTAATGATCATGCGACATATGCTGCTGACGCTGATAATGATGGTGATAGTGATGATGCTGGTGATGATGTCGAAGATGTTGTTGGTTCTGATGATGAGATCGGTGGATGACGATGCTCCTGACAGTACTGCTGGCATTGAAGTTGGTGATTATGGTGATTGTGATGGTGATGGTGATGATGACGCTGCTGCTGCTGCTGTTACTGATGATGATGATGATGATGATGATGATGATGATGATGATGATGATGATGATTATGGTCATGGTGATGATGATGCTGATGTGGAGGAGGAGGAGGAGGAGGAGGAGGAGGACGGGTAAGTATGGATGAGGATGAAGGGAGTGGGGAGTGCAACGAACACAGTGAGGAGAGTGCAGATCGGACAAGGACCAGGACACACGGGGAGCCACGAGATAGTGAGGAAGCGGTGGAGTTGAAAGAGAGGATAGGGAAAAAGGAGGAAGAGGGGGAGGAGGAGGAGGCGGAGGGAGGAGGAATCAGGAGGGCGTTGATGCTCATGATGCTCATGATGCTGATGGTGATACTGATGGTGGTGGTGGTGGTGGTGATGTGGAGGATGATGAGGATGATACGGATACGGGCAAGCGGGATGATACAAACGCTTGATGGGGAGAGTGAGGGTTCGCAGGCTGGAAAATTTCAGAGGTCATATGATGATGAATTGGGGGTCGGGAAGGATAGCTAGGGGACAGAGGGAGGGTGATGATGGTTGGCGGAGAATGCGGATGTGCATGACATGAGGAGAGGCATATGAGGTTTGCTTTCGGATGAGGGGGCTTCGGATGGATGATGTGGCGGAGGAGGAGGATACAGGGAAGGGTGATGCTGGTGTGGAATCGGAGGGCGAGGGGGGTGTGGACCGATGGAAGCAGGACGATGGGAGAGGGAGAGGATGGACAGGAGGAGGAGGAGACGCATAATGATGGTGTTAATGATGAGAGGCGCAGGGGGAGGAGGAGGAGGAGGAGGAGGAGGAGGAGGAGGAAGACTAGCGGAAGGATGAGTGCGACCACGAGTGTATTGAGAAGAGTGGAGACGGAGGGTGCAGGGTAGCAGAGGCGAGGTGAGGCTGGAGGGCGAGCAGGCGTCGGGAGCGAGAAGGAGGTGGCGGGCGGGGGAGGTCGGGCCGAGGTGGTGTTACTGCTGCAGTTCTGTAGGATCGAATTGGATACGGAAATAATGGATACGAAGTATCGCCCCTATGTATGGCCTCCATCCAGCCACGCGCGCGCAGGGAAGAAGTAAGACCATTCGGGCCCCCTCGGTCCGACGAGTACCGACAGCAGTCCCTGCTCGTTTTGAGCAGGACTCTCTGTCGGTGTCGCCGTGGACGCTCTCCATTTGAGACAGAAGGCCGCCTGCCCAACAGCGGCCGCTGTTGGTTTTGAACCATGTTTGTTGTTGGGCATCTCGCCCAGTTTGTCCGTACCCATTTCGGGCGTCCACATTTGTCGTCGTCGTCGTTGTCATCGTCATCTTCGGAGGAGGAGGGGCAGGAGGACCAGTAGAGGAGTCCGCGCCCAACCTTACGCCCACGTCGCATTAAAATCACGACCAGAGCCCTGGACCCCATCTTTCTGCTGCACTTTTCGAGCCAGACTGACCGGTGATTGTCCTCGGACCCGAAGCTGGGCGCTACTGCGCGGTGTCTGGCTGGCTAGGACGATAAATTTGTTCCAGACGTTCTGGGACGCTCTCAGCGCGTTCTGAAACGCTCTGAGAAGGCCGCGGCGCCCGAGGCATCCTCCGGAGCCGCCAGGTCTCAGAGATGCACCATTTTATCTTTACCCGAGTTTGTCCTCGTCCTGGTTTCGTCTCACGGTGTGACGAACTCGCAACGCCCCCGCCCCCAGGTTCGGAGGGGGGAGAAGGCGACACCAACACCACCAGGGGGCCCACCTCCAGCGAGGAGGTCCACGATGCCTCCCCGAGCTGGAGGCTGGGGATGTCTCGAGCGAGAGGGGGGACCACACCACCAGGGAGACCTCCCTGTCTCCTCGCATCTCCTCGCCCTGGTGGTGTTGGTGTCGCCTTTCCTTGTTCCTACCAGGTGGACCACCGTGTCCACGCTCTTCCTGTGCGTCTGCGCCGCCCTCTCCGATGCCGGCCGCATCGGCATGCACGGCGCTGCACCGCCGGGCGCTCGCGCGCGCGCCCGCGGCCGTCAGCTGCCGCCGCTGCCGCTGCCTTCACTGTTCGTCGCTCGTCGTCGTCGTCGCCGCCACGGCGAACGACGACGGCGTCGATCGTGATCGTCGTCGTTCGTCGCCGTCGTCGTCGCCTGTCGTCGTCACAAGGCAAGGGGATTGGCACCCTGGCGGCGGGCCTCGGCCGCTGCGTTCCGTGAACCCCCAGTGGCGGCACGTTTCGCTCCGTCTGCCGTTGCCCTTCGCACGTGTCAGAATCAGTTTTCCAGCCGATGAAAGGAACAATTCGTCGCCGCCTTTGTCGTGGTCGTCGTCACCGTCGGCGCCGCCGTTTCCGCCGCCGCCGCCGCCTCCGTCGTCGTCGTCGTTGTCGTCGTCGTCGTCGTCGTCGGCGTCGTTATCGTCGTCGCTCGTCCCTCTCCAGACCACCCAGGCCGACCAGAGCGACACAATTCGTTTGTGACGGTTCCCATCCCTCCCCCACTCCTTCCCTGCCCCCCTTCCCCCTCCCCTCTCCCAGAAACTCCCTCCCTCCTTCCCAATCCCTGCTTCCCCTTCACGCCTACCTATCCTCTCTTGTCTCCCTTCCGTCCTCTGTTCGCTCATCTTCTTCCCTCCCTCGCTCCCTCCCCACCCTTCCCACCGTCCCCCTCCCCATCCCTCTCTGTCTCCCCATCCGTCGCTCCCCCCTTTTCCCTCCCTCCATCCCCTGTTCCCCTCCCCTCCTCCCCAATCCATTCCTTTCCTCCATATCCTTCTCCTCCGATCTCGTCCACTCCCCTTGACTCTCCAAGACCATCGCGCTTCGCGGACCGCGAGGTGTTAAAGAGCGAACTTGCGTGACCTGGTCATTCGCCCCTTGGGGAGTTTGGAGTCCACGCACGGGCACCTCCTCGGTCGCCGTGTGGCCGTGAGGAGAGGAGTCCAGCCCCCCCCGAACCCGTTTTGTACCCGGGGGTTGGGACGCGGAAGCTCTAGGGAGAGGTACTTTCTGGCGCCGCGTGCGAGGATTGCTCGGAGCACCACCGCCGCTCCGCGAGTCCCAGACGCCCGTGCAATTGCACACACACACACACACACCTCGTGGGTCGAGTTCTGGGCCCCCGCTGGTGGCTCTGGGGGCGGCATGCTGCCATGTCTCCGAGCCGCCGAGCTTTTTGCTGCAGTGCTCTCCTGCTCTCGTTGTGGGGCACGTGGTTCAAGCTTGCCGGCTGCACCGTTCGGAGCCACGCTGTGGAAGGCTCGCCGCGGCTCGCCGTGGGAGGCCGCGAGGTGGGAGTCCGCGCTGTGGGGGACCGTACTTCGGTGGTGGACAGACCTCCTACCCTGACACGTTGATTGAGGAATTGGCCGTTTTCGGTTCGCGAGAGGGCGTCACGGCCGTCATTTTTGCGGGTCCAGGTCTGTCGGTTTCGGTCCCAGGCCGTTTTCACGAAGGGGAGGTCTACAAAAGGGAGGTTTGTCCACCGCCGAGTACTGCTGGAAGCCCTGTCGTGGAATCACTTGCCTTGCAGTGGTGGTGGCATCCAGACCCCCGCCCTCACCGCGCAGGGGATCCTGAGACCACCTAAGGGAGTCGCTGGGCCGTGCACGCCCCCCCTCAACTGATACTCTTGCGCTGCTTTACGCCAGTGTCGATCGACTGTGGCTGGTACTTCCAAACTCCGATTCCAAAGGGCGGGATCGGCTTCTGATGTACAAATGCAGCAGCAGCTGCGGACTCACGAAGCTCGCATGTAACCATCAGCCAGTCGATGCGATTGGATCGACCATAGTCAACACACGGCGCGCCCCTGGTACTTTCCTCCTGGCGAAATCAAATTAATGCTGGGGTTGTGGGTCATCATGCGTTGTCATACACGTGATTGGGATCTCGCCCCTCATGCGTTGCCACGGTCATCCTTGGCCGGGACCGTCCTACACCTCGCATGACCTGTCCCCCCCCCCCTCTTCCTTCCCCTCCTCCCTCATCTCGTCTTCGGTGCGTCGCAGGCTTCGGGGCACGCCAGGTGTGATCCAGTGCACAGGCCCCGGGCCTGGGCACTCAGCGCAGTGTTCCTTACAAGTCCAGTATCCCTTACTGCATGTCGTAAGTGGACGCCGCAAGTTGCAGATACAGGCTGCGCACAATCCCGACGCCATCATGCCCCACCGCTTGTTCCGCCCCCCTACGCGCGCTGAACCCAACTCCCTGGCGATCCAATCCTCCGCTCGTGTCGAGGGGAGAATCCCACCTGCCCGCACGATCCCCCCCCCCAACGCTCATGACACCATCCAGAGTAGCTTCTGTGGTGTTCTCCTCCTCCTCCTCTGCCTGTTGCGACCAGCGCATCGCTCCTCCGCCGAAATGAGTGCAGCTTAGCTCCACGGGAGTTTTCCATGCGCGTCGTGCGTGTGTTGTCATAGTGGGCGCGCACAGGTGCCCGATGCAGCTCGCTCGATCGATGCTCGTCCTCCTCCCTGCTCATCCCTGGTCATCCCTTCATTGAGAATGATAGACCCCCAAATCCCAATAACACGACGAACATGTGGCCTCGCTGGGGTCCCCGTCCCTGCACCAGGGGACCATACTTCTGGGCGGTGTGCTTCGATACATGTGCTGGACCCCCTATCCCTGATGTTGGCGTGGCCCTCCTGACCTACCCCCTAGATCCCCTCCCCAAGGGTCATCGGAGCTTGTCCTGCTAACTCGTCCCTGCTCCTTCTGCCTTTCCGTTTTCCTCCGTGCCTCCTCCCTCCTCGCCGCAGGCTGGCTCTGTGCCCTCTACTCCGGGAACGTCTTCACCTCCGTGATGTACTGCGGCCTCGCCCTGTGGCTCTCGATGCACGGAGCCACCGTCGCCACCGCCGTCGTTGCCAGCGTCGTCGTCAACGTCGCCGCCACCGTCGTCGTAAGTCGTTCGCCGTCGTCGAACAGGGAGGGTGAGAGGACGAGAAGGGAGCAGGAGTGCGGGTGAGGAGGGAGAACACAGCAGGGACGAGCAGGAGGCGAAGCGCATGGGGAGGAGAAGCAGTGAGGTAACAAGAGAGCGCGGAGATGGTAGCAGGAGGGAGGAAGGTGAGATTCAGGAGCGACGCGGCAGCAGGAGGGAAGGAGTTGCCATACACTCGGTTAGCCACGAAGTGGTAGGGCGTTCAAAGAGGATGGTTATGATTCTGACGACGTCAAAGGCGAGAACGTCAAATCCCTTCAAACACCTGAAGACAATCAATGATTTGTCCCTCTTGGGGCCCTCTTGGGATTACTCTTGGAGGCCTCTTGGGGCGTCGTGCAGGCCGCTCAGGCCATCTTAAGGCCATCTTCCTCTGGGAGCGTCTTTGGGGCCTCGTGTGGCCCTCTTGGCGCGTGTTGGGCCCCCCTTGGGCCCGACAATCCATGCGGGAGGCCGCGGGGTAGCCCAGAGGGCAGCGACAAGCCCCTCCAGATTTGGCAAGTTGGTGTCCCGGCCCCTGAGAAACTCCTCAGAGGACTGAGGCCCAGAGGATGAGGCAAAGGACCTGCTGAGGACACGCCCACTCCGTGCCCAGAGGCACGGTGTCGGATATCTAGACACGCATATATCGGAGGTTGGGGGGTGAGATCGCAGTGGAGCGGAGACCACCAACCGGGAAATCGTTTCGTTTCGTTCGTGTCGTGCGTGCGGGCGAGGGGAAGCTGCGCGGGCGCGCGAGAGGAATGAAGCCGCCGTTGCTAGGGCGAAGTCAAGACACATGATTCTCCCCCGCCCGCCCGTCCAGCGGCGGCCCGAGGTGTCCCGCGGTGTCCCGTGGTGTCCAGTGGTGTCCGCCGTTGCTAGGGCGAAGTCAAGACACAGGATTCTCCCCCTCCCGCCCGTCCGGCGGTGGCCCGCATTGTCCCGTGGTGTCCCGTGATGGCCCGTTGAGTGAGATCGATAGTGAGATCGATATTGATATCGATAGTGAGATCGATACTGAGATCAATGTGGTGCCCCGAGGTGTCCCGTGGTGTCCCCCAAAGTGAGATCGATAGTGAGATGGATAGTGCGGTTTACAGGTGTCCCGTGGTGTCCTGTGATGTCCCGTTGAGTGAGATCGGTAGTGAGATCGATAGTGAGATCGATGTGGTGTCCCGAGGTGTCCCTTGGTGTCCCGTGGTGTCCTATGGTGTCCCGTTGAGTGAGATCGTAGTGAGATCGAAAGTAAGATCGGTAGTGAGATCGAGAGCTGTCTCGCGGTGTCCTGTGGTGTCCCGTGGTGGCCTGTGGTGGCCTGTTGAGTGAGATCGATAGTGAGATCGATATTGAGATCGACAAGTGTCCCGTGGTGTTCCGTGGTTTCCCCTGGTGTCCCGTTGAGTGAGATCGATAGTGAGATCGATTGAGTCAGATGTTGGTTCCCCCCCTCTCCCCCCCCCACAACCTCCTTATCACCCGAAGGGTTGTCGTATAGGTACATATATATAGAGATGTGCAGAGAGTGGTTTATTTATACTTACTGGGGTGATCTCACATCGGATGATTCCGGCTGGCCGACCGTACCACCGTCCGGCGGACCCTCCGACCAGGGCGGAGGAGGCGGAGAAGGCAGATGAGGAGGAGGAGGAGTAGGAGGAGGAGGACGAGGAGGAGGAGGAGGAGGAGGAGGAGGAGGAGGAGGAGGGAGGAGGAGGAGG